CCCATAGTTGTGCTGCTTCAACAACCGCGCCTGGGCGTCGTACTCCGCCTTCTCGACGTGCACCGACACCTCTTCCCTCATGGCCCTTAAAGCCCTCTCCTGCTTCTGCTCGTCGGTCAGAGGGACGCCGTCCTTGTCGTTGTCGGCGCCCACGAACACGGCCACGAACGTGGTCCTGAGCATGTCGGGCTCCGGCGGGAAGCCGTGGCCACATAGGGAGCGCGGGCGAAGATGGTATTCACAATTACGGTATTCACAACTGCATATGGTTGGGTCCTTCGCCAGGCTAATTCTGTATTGTTTTTGACAGGGACGGCGGGGGTGCCAGCATATTCCCTGCCGTGCGCAGGGCTACCATCCCTGACAAAGTATCCTGGCGAAGGCCCCAACCATCTGCAATTTGGGGTACCACATTATGAATAAAACTTTCGGTGGAGCCCCCTATGAAACACGACACGTGTGAGGGGTGTGTCGACATGGGGCGGGGCCGCCGTGCGAACCCTGCCACTGCGCCTGCGGTGGAGCTCCCTGTGGAGCCACGAAACGTGTGAGGGGTGTGCTGACATGGGGCGGGGCCGCCATGCGAACCCTGCCATTGGGGCCTTCGGTGGAGCTCCCTATGGAGCCCCGAAACGCGTGAGGAGTGTCGAAATGGGGCGGGGCCGCTATGCGAACCCTGCCACTGGAGCCTGCGGTGGAGCTCCCTATGGGGCCACGAAACATGTGACGGGTGCGCCGACATTGGTCGGGGCCGCCATGCGAACACTGCCACTGGAGCCTTCGGCGGAGCTCCCGACGGGGCCACGAAGCGTGTGACGGGTGTGCCGGAATGGGGCGGGGCCGCCATGCGAACCAATGGGACCTTCGGCGGAGCTCCCTGTGGGGCGACCAAAAATGTGAGGTGTGTGCCGAAATGGGGCGGGGCCGCCATGCGAACCGTGCCAGTGGGGCCTTCGGTGGAACTCTCTCTATAAGGCCACGACACGTGTGAGGAAAGTGCCGACATGGGTCGGGGCCGCCATGCGAACCCTGCCACTGGGGCCTTCGGTGGACTCCCTACGGGGCCACGAGACGTGCGAGGGGTGTGCTGACATGGGGCGGGGCCGCCATGCGCGCCCTGCCACTGGGGCCTTTGGTGGAGCTCCCTATGGGGTCACGAAACGTGTGAGGGTTGTGTCGACATGGGGCGGGGCCGCCATGCGAACCCTGCCACTGGGACCTTCGGTGGAGCTCCCTATGGAGCCACGAAATGCTGCACTGGGCGCTCGGGAGGAGGGAGGAGCGAGATGAGGGGGAGGAGGAAAAGAGGATGAGGCGAGGTGGGGCGTGGGGTGCTGTCTCTTCAAAACGAGGACCCAACACCACAATGTGGTTGGGAAAAACAATACAACATGCACTTCGCGGCTAAATCTGGATCGTGCGCCATCCTGCGATCACTGTCACTTCGATTTTTGACAGGGACGGCGGGGGTAGTGGCGCGCGGCCTGCTGTGCGCATGCCTACCAGACACAATGATAGGCCGTGGCTTTCGACAACGATGGCGGGGGCCGACATGTTTCCCGATGTGTGCTGTCACCTGCGCAAGCGCACCTGACGCACTTTGCGCGTGCCCCGAACATTGCGCGCCTGGCGCGGCTGGAGTTTGCGGCACACCTGGCGCACTCGGAGCACGTGGCGCATCTGGCGCACCAGGCGTGCCTCGCCCGCTCGGGCCCCAAGGGTGCCTGGCGCGCGTGGCGCCCCTGGCACGCGTGGCGCACCTCGCCCAAGCGTCGCGCACCTGGGGTTGGCTTCGGTTCCCAATAGCTGTCCATTCAAAGGCGGCCGCTGAACATGCTCAAGTTCGGGTGTTACTTATGTGTTGGGAGGGCGGGTGGGAGTGAGCTAGACGGCTTGCTGGCGGGTGGGTAGCTTGATCACTGTTCCCTATTAGTATACACCCCCTCCCCCAAGCGACTGGGAGCCAACAAAGGACAGTGCGGGCACCCATCCCTTGCAAAAAAACAATACAAAACACACTCTGCCTCCAAGTTCGGAGCATGCGCAGCGAACCCGATGCGGCTCTTCCCACCATCCCTGTCAAAAATTAGCCTGGCGAAGGACCCAACCATATGCAATTGTGAATACCGCAATTGTGAATACCATCTTCGCCCGCGCTTCCTATGTGGCCACGGCTTCCCGCCGGAGCCCGACATGCTCAGGAACACGTTCGTGGCCGTGTTCGTGGGCGCCGACGACGATAAGGACGGCGTCCCTCCGACCGAGAAGCAGAGGCAGGAGAGGGCTTTCAGAGCCATGAGGGAAGAGGTGTCGGTGCACGTCGAGAAGGCGGAGTACGATGCCCAGGCGCGGTTGTTGAAGCAGCACAACTATGGGGCCAAGATCCTCGTGAGGGGTGGCCCGGGGCCGTCATGGGAACCCTGCCACTGGGGGCCTTCGGTAGAGCTCCCTATGGGGCCACGATCCTCGCGAGGGGTGTGCCGAAATGGCCCGAGGCTGCCGTGCGAACCCTGCCACTGGGGGCCTTCGGTGGGGCTCCCTATGGGGCCACGATCCTCGTGAGGGGTGTGCCGAAATGGCCCGAAGCCGCCATGCGAACCCTGCCACTGGCGCCTTCGGTGGAGCTCCTTATGTGGCCACGATCCTCGCGAGGGGTGTGCCGAAATGGCCCGAGGCCGCCATGCGAACCCTGCCGCTGGCGCCTTCGGTGGAGCTCCCTATGGGGCCACGATCCTCGTGAGGGGTGTGCCGAAATGGCCCGAGGCCGCCGTGGGAACCCTGCCACTGGGACCTTAGACGGAGCTCCCTGTGGGGCCACGATCCTCGTGAGGGGTGTGCCGAAATGTCCCGAGGCCACCATGCGCACTTTGCTACTGGCGCCTTCGGTGGAGCTCCTATGGGGCCACGATCCTCGTGAGGGGTGTGCCGAAATGGCCCGAGGCCGCCATGCGCACTTTGCTACTGGCGCCTTCGGTGGAGCTCCCTATGGGGCCACGATCCTCGTGAGGGGTGTGCCGAAATGGCCCGAGGCCGCCATGCGAACTTTGCTACTGGCGCCTTCGGTGGAGCTCCCTATGGGGCCACGATCCTCGTGAGGGGTGTGCCGAAATGGCCCGAGGCCGCCATGCGCACTTTGCTACTGGCGCCTTCGGTGGAGCTCCTATGGGGCCACGATCCTCGTGAGGGGTGTGCCGAAATGGCCCGAGGCCGCCATGCGCACTTTGCTACTGGCGCCTTCGGTGGAGCTCCTATGGGGCCACGATCCTCGTGAGGGGTGTGCCGAAATGGTCCGAGGCCGCCATGCGCACTTTGCTACTGGCGCCTTCGGTGGAGCTCCTATGGGGCCACGATCCTCGTGAGGGGTGTGCCGAAATGGCCCGAGGCCGCCATGCGCACTTTGCTGCTGGCGCCTTCGGTGGAGCTCCTATGGGGCCACGATCCTCGTGAGGGGTGTGCCGAAATGGCCCGAGGCCGCCATGCGCACTTTGCTACTGGCGCCTTCAGTGGAGCTCCTATGGGGCCACGATCCTCGTGAGGGGTGTGCCGAAATGGCCTGAGGCCACCATGCGCACTTTTCTACTGGCGCCTTCGGTGGAGCTCCTATGGGGCCACGATCCTCGTGAGGGTGGTGATGATGATGATGATGCTGCTGCTGCTGATGATGATGATGATGATGACGATAATGCGAGGAGGGAGGGGGAATCGGGAGGAGGAAGGAACGCGGGGCGCCGTCTCTTCAAAACGAGGACCCAACACCACAGGATGGTTGGGAACAATACTGAGTACACTTGGCGGCGGCTGCGGCTGCGGCGGCTGCGGCGGGGGCAACGGCTTCGGCGGCTGTGGCGGTGGTGGCGGCGGTGGCGGCGGCGGTGGCGCGGGCGGCGGCGGCGGCGGCGGCGGCGGTGGCGGCGGCGGCGGCGGCAGCGGTGGCGGCAGCGGCTGCGGCGGCAGCGGCTGCGGCGGCGGCGATTCGGCAGCGGGGGCGACGGCGGCGGCGGCGGACTCGCCCCCAGCAGCTGCCCATCCAAAGACACCTGCTGAATATGCTGCGGTTCGGGCCAGGCTCGGGTGCTACGTATGTGTTGGGAGGGCGGGTGGGAGTGAGCGTGACGGCTTGCGGGCGGGGAGGGAGTCTTGACCCGTCCCCCTACCCCCTCCCCTGGACCTGGACGGGAGGGGCCGGACGTGTCAGAGCGCCTAAGATGGCTCCAAGAGGGCCTCCGATGCTCCAGGATGGCCTCCAAGATGCCACAAGATATCGCAAGATCGTTCGAGATGGTGTCCAACATGCTCCAAGAAGCCTCAAAGACCGCTCCAAGACGGCTCCAATTGCTCTCGGAGCTCTCTCGGGATCCCCTCAAGATCCCCAATCTTTCACAAGCCGAAAGAAAATCAATGATTTTTGCTTTCTTGCCTTTTCGCTTTCGATGCGCTTTTGAGGCCTCAAGATGGCCCCAAGATGGCCCAAGAGAGCTCCAAGAGGGGCCCAAGAGGCCCGCCTGCAAGACGGCCCCAAGACCGCCCAGGAGCTCCTGAAGAGGGGCCCAAGAGGCTATTTTTGGTGGTCGCAGAGGGGGGAGGCAAATCGAGGACCCCCCCTGCTCTGATCGATGGCCTCCTCCAAGATGACCCCAGGAGGCCTCCAAAGCTCCCATGAGAGCCCCAAGAGAGCCCCAAGAAGGCCCCAAGAGCGCCCCATGGCCCCCCAAAAGAGCCCCAAGAGGATCCCAAGACCTCCCAAAAGAGCCCCAAGATGCCCCAAAAGAGCTCCAGGAGGACCCCAAGACGCCCCAATCCAGCCCCGTAGCTCCAAGAAGGTCTCCGATGCTCCAAAATAGCTTCCAAGAAAGCTCAACACCCTGCTTCCTCTCTTCTCCTTGCACGCTCTGTTTCACCATATGGCGTAAACAATTACATGTCAAGGGGTCCGAGTGAGGTGGCAGCTCTCCGACGCTCTCGTTCTGACGACGTCCAATGCATGAGTAGCAAAGCCTCTCCTGGTCGTGCTTTCGGCCGAGAGTTTGCGAGACAAGTGCTCAACGGAGCGGGTGGCCTCGAGCTGCGTGTCCTCCTGCGCGGCAGTTGGTGCGGGAGGACACTGTGCAATGTCGCTGGGAGGCATGGGGACGAGTGACAGAGAACGAGTTGCACGATATGATAATAAGACAACAGTGTTGCGTGTCAGAGCGTCCCATGGGCACGCTGAAATCTGTCCTCGCACACGGGCGCATGCCGAGCGAAACGCCGAGCACACACACACACATCGCAAACACACCGAACATGCGACGAGCACGCCTTCAACCTCAATCTGAATGCGCACCCAAGGCGCTCCGACGTTGGTGCCCGCCAGAGGTGAAGGACAAAGGCGAAAAACTCTTGGGGGAAATCCGTATGTCATGATGCAACATCTCTGGAGATCTCGACCTCATCCGTACGCTGGCCTGTGAAAACGGTGCCAATGCGGGGGCCCTGCGTCCTGGCAAAGCCACGGGGTGTCGAACCGCTGTAAAGTACCCGCCTGTGACACCTGGGGTCGAGCTGGAGCGCTTCCGCTCGATCCGCTCCATCACACTCAAGCAGGGAGGGATGACGCAGAGCGGGGTAACCCTCGCGCTAGGGGGAAATGGCGCGACAGTCGCTGCGGGAGACGACCGCAGGGGCAAGGGAGTCCAACAGTTCCAGGGCTTCGAGACGCTGTCATGGCCGCTTGAAGCCCTCCTCCCCGCCTCTGCCCCCGACCTGTGAGCCTCGCCTCCCTGAGGGGCGCCTGGTCTCGCTGCTGCCCTCCGCGGTAGGGTGTCCCCTGCCGCTGCGCGGATGCGGCGCCGCCGCCACCTTGGATTTCAGGCTGGTTTCCAGCCATCGGGAGCGTGGTGCTTGGTTGACTGAGCACCCCCCCCGACGTAGGTAGCATTGTGCCCGAGCCTTTGGAGACGATGAGCGAGTAGGGGAGCAGCGGGCGGAAAAGCAAACCACCCGAAATCGTCATCTGAGAGGTGGAACTGGGAGAAGAAATCGACATGACTAAATGCCAAACTGATCCATCTTGTTTCCTCCTGAATCGACCGGGGGGAGCGTTCACAAGGCGCCCTGCCCCCCAGGGGGGCGTCCTGCTGCCTCACCAACTTCCTGCAAACTGCCGCCTCCGCGGTCTCCTGCTCGGCGGCCTGGTGCGCCGGTCGCGACCGAAGGTCCCCCGCGCGTGCGCGCTTATCTGGAGTGCCGCAAATCGACACGTGTGTGTATATAAAGTTTACATCTACACATACAAGACTGCGTTGGCGCTTCGCGCCACGCACATTGGTCCTTCGAGCTTCGTATCTGTTGTCGCTTGGCATCGTCCTCGTTGGCCTTTGACATTTGGCCGTTTCTCTTCAAGTCCCGTTGCCCATTCCTTGTGTGCTCTCGCCCCCGGTGTACATGTTCGTGCGCCACCCGATTGTCTCTTGGGGTGCGTTTGGACGAATTCCAAGGCGGACCCGATGACGTGGCGACGAGAAAACCACCTGAAGGCTCCGAAAAGGCAGGGGTTCGCCACAATCAGAACAAGCGAGTACAGACATGAAGGATGTAGCGAATGCGTGAGCTTAAAGAGTTTAAGCCAACGGCTACGGATGCATGGAATAACGTGGAGAGCCCTCGTGGGGTTCACACACTAGCCCGTTCGTGTCCCAGGTTGTCTGGGTGCGCAGTGCGAAGCAATGGTAAGCCATGCGAATGAATGCCAAACGAAGCAACGCACTGCCAAGCAATGCCGCAGAATACGAAGCAACGCAATGTCAAGCAATGCCGCCCTGGCTGCGGAAATATACCGAAACCTGGGTTCGCCACGGATGATAATGGAATTTTGTTGCAAACCCAGGACTCGGGCCAGTTTGGCGTACTTCGTAGGAAGAGTCTGGAAAACGCACGACCAGGCAAAATAATGACGTTCGGGGCCCTTTGCGTGGTCACCAAAGGGGCTCGCTCGTGGCCCAAGTTGCCGGGCCACACAATGCAAGGCAATGGAAAACATCGCCTTATCATTCCACATCGTTCCTCTCATTCACCCTCCCTCTCGCAGAGCGTTGCGAACCATTCCCCGTCTGCCGCAGGTCCTTTTGCGGAGGCTCATCGTTGGATTTGTCTCGGGGGCCTCACGAATGCCTCTCAAGGGCTTTGGGGACCCCTGGAGGCCTCCCGTGCGCATCTCTGGGCTGCCTTAAGGGTCCTTTTGAACCCGTCTTTGCCGTCTTGGGTCCGTCTTGGGCCGTGCTGGGGCTTTCATTGGGAAGTTGAGCCCTCTACGGGCCTTCTTGGGGCCATCTTGGGCTCTCCTGGGGACCCCCCATGGCCCTCGTGGGTCTCTCTTGGGAGCCCTCGGGGGTCTCGTGAGCTTCCTTGAGGTTGTCTTGGGGCAGTCCTGGGGCCCTCATGGGCTGTCTTGAAGCCCTATTGGGGGCTCTTGGGCCGATTTGGGGCGATCTCCGAAGCCTCTCGGGCAATCGTGAACGCTGCTACGACAACAAAAACGAATTATCCCGGCAAAGCAACCTAACAGCGATGTGTAGAAGCATATCTGAAAGCATTCCCCTTAGGATTCAGATGAAAATCCAGTTGTCGAATTCTGCTGTTCTCGCAGTCGTAGTCGATTTCGCGATGACAGTCGCAGCGGCAACGGCAGTCGCAGTCACAGCCTCAGCCTCAGCCTGCCTCAGCCTCAGCCTCAGCCTGCTTCAGCCTCAGCCTCAGTCTGCCTTCAGCCTCGGCCTCAGCCTCAGCCTGCCTCAGCTCAGCATTCAAAATGTGGCCCGGGAATGGAGTTCTGGGAACTCGAAGAACACGAAGTGGCCTACAGTTGGCTCCGGGCATTCAAAATCATGCCCAGGAATGGAGTTCTGGAACTCGAAGACCACGAAGTGGCCTACAGTTGGCTCCGGGCATCCAAAATGTGGCCCGGGAATGGAGTTCTGGGAACTCGAAGAGCACGAAGTGGCCTACAGTTGGCTCCGGGCATCCAAAATGCGGCCCGGGAATGGAGTTCTGGGAAATCGAAGAGCACGAAGTGGCCTACAGTTGGCTCCGGGCATCCAAAATGTGGCCCGGGAATGGAGTTCTGGGAGCACCAAGAGCGATTTTGCGAGGATGTCCCAAATGATTTCGGCTTCGGCGGCTGTTCCGGGTCCCGCCCAGACCCCCCTGAGGAGTCATGATGCTCTCTTTTGAGACCACTAGAAGCCTATCAGCAAGAGCTGTTAGGTAATTTGCCGAGCATGCGCGTTTACCCAAAAAGGAATGAACAAATTTTTGCCTTGTGGGGGCCCTCGTGCAGACGGCTTTTTGGGGGCCTTGTAAGCCGTCTTGAGGCCGTCTTGCGCTGTCTTGGGGCTGTCCCGCGTCTCTTGACCTCTTCTCTGATCGCTTGTGGTCTGCTGGGCACGGGCCGGCAATGCGCCCTAGGAGGCGCGGCAGGACGGAAGGACCTCTTCAACAAGCGTCCAGGGGGTCCAACAAACCCGGATCCCAGGAGTCAGTTTTTTTTTGGGGGGGGGGAGATGTCAGAGTTGTTCCCGCCTCCCAGGTTTGTAAACGTACAGGGATATATATATATACACACTTATAGTTATTTATTCATGTATTTATTTATATATATATATATATACGCATGTATATGTTTACCCCCCATCAAAGCCTGCCTGTGTAGGGGTCCTGGTTATAGGTGGGGTGCGTCGCCGATTTCGGTGGCTAGCCCGGGTGCCCGGTAGCCCAATGGCTCTATAGCGTTGAAGCCTTACAACCCTATAGCCCTATATACCTAAAGCCATATAGCCTTATAGCCCTAAAAGCACTTTAGCCCTATAACCTTATATAGTCCTATATACCTATAGCCTCATAGCCCTGTATCCTTATAGCGCTAAAGCCCTATAGGCCCATAGCCTTATAGTCCTACAGCCCTAAAATATGATGTTTGGATGTATCTCCAGTATCGCACATACACTCATATATATATATATGTATACACACAAGATATTGTTGGCTCGCTTCGCTTCGCCACAACATCATGTCCCTCGCCTTCACCCTTGGCGCAAGAATGGGGATCTCACATCCCGCCGCGGTTCGGTTTTCGCAGGACGAGCCACGGAGGGCAGCTGTGTTGGTGGTCGTGCTCGCGGTCGTGCTGGTGGCCGTGATGCTGGTCATGGTGGTGGTCGTCGTGCTGGTGATGGTGCTGGTGGGCGGTCGTGCTGGTGGTCGTGCGGGTGGTCGTGCTGGCGGTCGGGCTGGTGGTCCTGGTGGTGTTCGTGACGGTGGGCTCGCTGTTTTATTGCTGGTTGTCGTGGCCGTTGTCGTGCTGGTGGTCGTGCTGGTGGTCGCGCCCCCGGTCGCGCTGGTGGTCGCGCGCGCGGCCGTGCCGGAAGTCGGGCGCTGGTCGCGCTGGTGGGGCGACAGGGCTGCTCGAGCCACGGGGCCCAGGAGGACGCGGACTCTCTGAAGCAGTGAGCATCTCCATGAGCGAAGGCTGACTGCAAGGGTCGAACCCATTTTTGGTTCACGTCGACTGCTGCTTTTTTGCCGCCGGGCTTGGGTGGGCGCTGCGGTCGGGCTGTTCCGCGGGGCTGACGTGGGGACACCCCGGGTGGCCGCGCCAATTGGTGGTTCGCGTCGACGGCTGTTTTTTCCCATGGGGGCCACGTAGGGCGCGTTCGGACGGCCTGAGCCGCGGGGCCTAGATGGGCGTGGGTTTTCGTGACGAGGGAGCATGCCTGGAGGCGAAGAGCAAACCAACGGGCCCAGCCAATTTGTGGTTCACGTTGACGGCTGTTGTTTTGCTCCAGGGGGCCGGGATGGAGGCGTCTGGCGCCCTCTGGGCAGGCTGGCACCGCGGGGCCGTCGTGGGCGTGCGTTTTTTTCGTGCGGAGTGTTCATTTCCAGGGGCGCAAAGCGAGACAACAGGCAAACTCAATTTGGTTCATGCCGACGGTTTCGTTTCTGAGCTCGGGCCCGGCTGGCCGGCCGGCGCGCGGATTGTTTTTCGAGCGTGGGCGTCGCGCGTCCCCCCGCACGGCTAAATTTTATGCGCTATGGCTGCCCTGAGCGGGCGTCGGCGTGCACCTCGCTCGCGGCGGCCGAGGCCGCGGGGAAGGTCATCCGGCAAACGAGCTTGCTGTTTTCGCACTTCTCCGTCTGCTCCTTGTAGTTCGTGAAGCGTGGGATGTGTTTCGTTTTCTTGCCGTCGGCGGCCGCGGCCAAATAATGGCCAGCCTGGGCTCCGGGCCCGGCGCGGAAGTGGCTGGCCTGGAGCCGGGCCCGCGGCCAATCGCCCACCCTGACACCTGGGTCGAATCAGCGGCCGTTTGTCTTGCCGAGAAACGCCCCCGACTGCGGCCCCAGCAGTACTTCTGTATCTGCGTCGCTATCTCGTTCTCCAACGTCGCCCAGTCGGGGAAGGGGCGGGGGGCGGCGCTCGCAGCAGAGGCGGCCGACAAGCCGATGGCCAACTTCTTGTCGGAGAGACCCGTCTGGCGGTAGGTCCGGAAACCTTGCTTTGTGTGGGACAAAGCACCCCCGACGGCAATCAAATTGATGGTCCCGAGGTGTGCTGCGAGGCCCCGCGGGCTCTGCCGGTACGGGACACCGATGCGCACGGTAGCCTGCGCCCTGGGGTCTCTGACACGCCGCGCGGCCCCGAGGATTTCCACGGTCACTCGGTCCTTGAAGCGGTCGGGGTTGCCGAAACGCGTGCTGTTCACTATGCGGATGGCCTGGTCGATGTCGGCGGCCGCCAAGACCCACTCTGGCAAGATGCTTCTGCGAAGTACTGGTTTTGGTGCACGTTGCTCGCGTCTTTCGAGGATGGTGGTGATCTCCCACGTGCGGTTGTTCTTCCGCAGGGCACTGCCCTTCCCGTTGTTGACGCCGTACCTCGCTTTTGCTGCCCTGGCGGCAGCACCACCAAACCGACCCCCTTCACGTAACCTATCTTGCAAACTGCGGCACTTCCAACAATGTCCCCGTTTAGTGAGTTGGTGCCTAGGGTGTGTCGTGCAGAAGCGGACCTTCGGGCGGTTCGGCATCGAACTATGGTGCTGGAGGTTACTGCTCCCGCTGTCGGCTTGGGCCGGTATGGGCAAGTACGGAGGCGATCAGTGTTTGCAACGCGCTTTCAATGGTTGTGGTATTGGGCATTCTCAGTGGGGGGTGGCACCATGTGGAGGATAAAGGGGGGAGGTAGAGGAGGACGACGAGGACGAGGAAGATGGTGAGGATGAGGGGCGATGAGTGGGAGGAGAAAGGTCCAGGTGGACAAGTCAGGTGGCGACGGTTGGGGGGAGAGTGACGGTGGAAAGTGTTCTGAGGGAGGGTGGGTGAAGAGACGCGGGCGAGGAGGGTGGAAGGCTGGAGAGGAGGTTTCAGCAAGAGGCGCGGAGTGACGGATTGACGGCGTAGACGATTCGGTGCACGAGTGCGCACGCAACCTCTTAGGGGTCCGTGGACGAGAATACCTCGGGCAAGTTTCGTCCGATACGTCGTAACTCATGGAGGCGACTTGCAGTACTCTTAGAAACGCCTCAGGCGGCCCACTGACCTCCAAGGGATCTCGAACATGGCACTCAATAGTGAAGAATGGGCGGCAGGGCCCAAGATGTCGCATAGACAATCTGAAGGCCTCGAAAGCGTCCCTCCAGATGGCCAACTAG